CGAAACAGTTTGTCACAGCCCCTCGTTTGTTGTCCTCTTCTCTCTCTCTGCCTACGGTTTACCGGGCAGTTCTGTTTGTGACGATATATATATATAGGCTAACCGGCGTTCGGGACGGGCCGAACGCGGACCCCCCAAAAAAAAAAAAAAAAAAATCTGAAAAAAAAGTGTTATGAAGAAAAATAAATTAAACAAGATTTGCCTGAGCATTACATCCAAATTCCTTACCAAATTCGACATACGAATAAAATACGAAAAATAAATACTAACAATGAAAATAACAACAAAAAATAAATTAAATTTAGTGAGTGCGCGAGAACGTTTTCGACACCGCTATCTTTGGCGATTTTTCATTTTTTTTTGGCATAGCTAAATGCCCTGAAAATTTACAGATGTGTACTTCACATAATGCAAAACCCACTAAAAAAGTTTCAAAAAATAATACAATTGTTTAGACCCCGAACTAAAGTGAAAACAAAAAGTAAAGTGAAAAAAAGCGTGGGCGAGCACGTTTTGACACTGCCATCTTTGGCAATTTTGAATTCTTATTTGGCTGAGCCAAATGACTTGAAAATTTATAGGCATATACCTCACGGCATAGAGAACTCGCAAAAAAAAACTCAGAAAAAGAGTATTTTTAGGCCCCGAAATAATTTTTGGCGGGGGCCGAACGCCATCGGGTTCGGAGCTAGTACGTGACACCGAACGCCCGTACGTACGGAGGTCTGCCCTGAGACCTCCGTACGTACGGGCTGGTGACCCTGTGTATATATATATATATATATATTTTATTTTTTTTTATGTTCTGGTTCGGAGGGTTTTGGGCGCTAGTTCACGTTAGGACGAACATGTCCGGGTTCACCTCCGAACGGGAACACGATGCTACGCGGGTCCAAAGACTACCACCCGTAACTCGTGAATTCACACTTGGCGGTGATGATAGGACCTAGAGAAAGACCTAGAGAAAGTTACTGAGAACATTAGACATGCCCAGCTCAAGATGGTAGGACAGGCAAATAAGCATTTTTGGCGACCATCACGATTTGCAGTCGGTGATCTAGTTTGGGTTAAAGGACCACTCACTACCTTTCGCGTACATCGGCCACAGGCAGGGTCCCTGCTCGTTTCGGAGGTCGAAACGAAATGATGGCTGCCGATGACATTTATCAACGGCGGTCGCCGTCGGGCCCGGTCCCCGAAGAATGCGGTATGGGTCATATTCCCACTTTTCCAACACAATGAAAGGTAAACAGCAATGCAGTATACTGGCGACATGCACCCACTCAAAACTCAGAGATATGGCTTTCAGATACGAGTTCACTCTCAATTGGCTATGGCGACTTCAGCACCCAAACATCTCAATGTTCACATACACTGGATCACCCTGGATATCCCACACGCATCACTCTAACACTCGAGCACACACACACACTCACTACTAACTACAGCTATGGCAGCTATGGCTGCCTCTAACCTATCGCTATGCTAACTCCTCCTCTCTT